AGGTAAATATGATTTAAAAAATTTACTTTGTAAATAATTCTCAAAGAACAGTCAGGTATGATGAGGGATACCTTTAATCCCAACACTCTGGGAGGCAGAGGCAAGTGGATATCTGATTTAAGGACAGCCAGGGACACACAGAGAAACTATGCCTCAAAAAAACAAAAACCTCAAAAGAATGTGCAAAAATATATTTTAAAGACCAAATCATTTACTTTGTTTTTTATGTTAGATTGGTGAAAGCTCCGACATGTGTATGAGAAACTTTATACTACTGCTCAGTCAGAACTGCTACCAGTTCTTATAAAAGTACCTAATAATAAATGTTAAATTGTACTTGTATACCTGTCATCTTCTGTCTATCCTCTTAAGAAGTCACATGGTTGCAAAGTGTATTACAGTCAGTGTGACAGAATGGTAGGAAAAAAAATCTTTTGTTTCATTAATAGTGAATGAACAGTTAAAGGAATTGTGGCTTAAAAGGAGGTAAACCATGGGACCAGAACACTTACTTCTGTTCCCAGCCCCTACATTGGCTAGCTGTAACTCAAGCTCTCCTTGGCCACCTACACATACACATTCCCTCCATCCCCTCACATATACACATAATTAAAAATAATAGAACTGTGTAAAGAACAGGGAATGGGTAAATGTTTGTACAGTTATGAGGCCCCAGCAGAAATTAAAAACCCAAACAACAAAAGTAACGAAGTACCAAGGAAAGCATAAGGTTCTCATACTGTATGTGTATGTTAGAATGTCTCTGCAAGTACACTTCAGAAATGAAAACAACAGCCATTTCTGATAAAGGAAATGGAATAGGGCATAAACAAGGGGATTAATTTTTCCACGTAATCACTCACTCAAAAGAATTTGTTGTCTTTTTTAAAAGTGATACTATTTCAAGGTGCTGCTCAGTGACTGCTCACAGGTACCACTCCACTGCTGCTAAGTGCAGGCACCTGATAAAGTAGCCCAGACCTCTTGTTTTGTCTCAGTCCCCCAAACAACTGAGAGTACAGACACATGCCACTTGTAGTCATACCTGCTCATTAGCATTGCTTAAAAATTCTCACATCCATGTTAACACAGCTTTACCAGCTTAACGTGGAAAATGAGGTAATTGATTTTATTTATTTTTTGCAATCAGCAAGAGCGTTTATTATTTCGAGAAGGTAGGTACCAGCATGCTAGTCCCGTGCACCCGAAAAAGGCAAAAATGGTGAATGGTGGTCCCTAAGAAAAACTTGTGGACTCCTTTATATCACAGCTAAAGGAATTGTAAAAGTGGTGTGACCAGTCCAGCTAAAATTGGTTTATGCAGGTGACATTGATTTTATTTTTAAAATAGAGTATTTTTAAACTTCTTTGACGGTTTTTACAATGTGTTTTTAAATGTGTTGTTTAAAAAGCTTAAATAAAAAGTCATAAATATTGTAAACTTGCTTTTTTGTGTTGACGTTTTATGTATTTATTTGGCAGTGGTAGAGAATCTAAGCTAGGACATCAGAAAAATTAAACAAAATAACTGCCACTGAACCATATCAGCCCTGTAAAATGTTCTAAAATCTAAACAAGTTAACCTTTTGTTTGAGTTCAAACACTATACTTTGTTCAGCCATCACCTCAAAGTTAGAACAAAATCTATTATTAGTTTTTCTTTGTTCTTTGTGACTCGTGCTGTCCAAATCTCTTCCTTTCTCTTGCTCTGAGCCTCATTTTGCTGAAACTGTAGGCATGTACACATGGGCTTACTATTATCTTAATTACTTGTTTATTTTATAGTCATGGGAAATAATTCTAGGGTCTCAGACTTGTAGGCAAGTGTTTGAGCACTGGGTCATATATATATTTTTTTGAGACAAGGTTTTTCAGTGTATACCTGTTGATGGGATAATAGATTGGTATTTATAAGTTATTGTTTTTAGAATATTATATTGGTATCGATTCTTGTATGTTGATACAAAGTTAAATTATATTGAATATTGTATGTGAGTATGCTGCTACCTCTGTTTAAAACATTTGTTATGTATTTATATATTGTATTGATATGTATATTTACCATATTGCAATGTACATTTCTACCTCTGATTAAAATACTTATATATTGTTTATGTAATGATATACATTGTTTACATTTGGAGGTCATTGTCCTCATTTTTTGCACAGTTGTTTATTTTCTTAGTCTTTAAGTTAGATAGGTATTGAGAATTATATATCAATAGTCATTTATGTTTGTCATATTTATATTTAGGCTAATCAGGTTCTTTAGATACATAGAGATTATATTTAGTATAGATAATATAATCTTCAACCTCTTCGAAGAGCTGTAGAAAATGGCCTTTAATCTAACTTAGAATTCCATGGTAGTGAGACATAATCAATCACTCCTGGCAACACCGCTCTACTCCCGAGAGAATGTTGAGCACCAAAGACACTCTACTTGGAGTTTGTCTTCTTCTTGGCAGAACTGGCTGGCCATTGGGCAAAGAAAAGCCCATACCTCAACCACTGACAGAGGTACAGAATATCCATAAATGGATAAAAACAGGATTGTCTTATCCTGCCAAGACAGGGTAAAAGACAGGGTAAGATCTAAAAGGTTTCTCGCCTTTGAAAATGGTGTGTCAGTTACGTTAGGTCTTAGCCAAAGTTGGTTGCCTCAACATTGCAAATGAGACTTTGGGTGATTGCACAGGTAGTCAGTTGTCTCTGTCATTTGTTGCACATTTTGGAAGTTTCTAGATTGTACTTCCTGTTTACTCAAGTACTATTACTTCCCTTCTCAGATCTTTGATGGAGTTGAAGATTAGAAAATTGTAGTTACCCTCCTCATGAGTTAGATAAACTCAATTTCAATACATTATTTAGACTCCTTGAAATAGAATGCTTAGTAAAACTTTTATGTTTCTTGCTTAATATTGTTTGTTGCTTATAATTTTATACTTGGTATCTATTTCTATTGTATATAGTTGTATTGGGTTTGGTTCGGTTTGTTGAGACAAAAGGGAGAGATGATGGGGAAGCTCAGCCAATCACATTTGGCTAGGGTGTGGGCGCTTGGGGAGACGGAAGAAGGACCTGGGCATCCAGGTGCCCGCCCCTTGTTTTGTATTCATTTGGCTGCGCGTGATTCTCGCTGTATCCTGGTCGTGTGAGTTTCTCTTGCTCCCAATTATTAAAATTATATTCCTTGTTTTTGAGCTGGTCTGGTTAATTCTGACTACCGGTCGACCACACCCTTCATTTACCTAGCTGAACTTGCTCTGTAGACCAGACTGACTTCAAATTCACAGAGATCCACCTGCAACTGCTTCCCTGATATTAAAGGCACCACTAAGTTCTAGATTATAGACATATGCTACTATACCTGCTTCATAATAAATTTCTCAGTTTACTACAGAATTTAATTTTTACATTCTTTGTAATTCCATGAAGTCCTGTATGTATTTGCAAAACATTTAAAGCTGTGCATGTCAGCACTTAGGTTGAAGGCAGGCAGATCTGAATTCAAGCTCAGTTGGTCTACATACTGAGTTCCAGGACAGCTACATAGAGAAACCCTGTTTTGGAAAACCAAAAAGAAAGGGGGGAAATGAAAGGAGAAGAAAACAGAAACATTTAAAAAATACCATTTTAGAGTTAGTGCTTTTGTAACTATCCTTGCACACCTTGCTATATTTTTATCCTTGTATGACCTTCATAATTTTTAAATTTTAAGTATTATAATTCCCATTCACCTTTTAAAAAACCTATATTTTTTGGTAGTCATCCTTCTTTCACCACAGATATAAAGCCCATGGCAAACATTTTCTAAGGATTTATTGTTCTGTACCTTTTATCTGAATAGAAACTGTGTGTGTCCTTTTGTCATTGGCTGTTTTTATTTAGCATGTTTTCTGGGTTCATTTCATGTTATAGTATCTATCAGAACTCAATTCTTTTTTGTGACTATATATGCCTTTATATAGCTGTTCCTCATCTGTTTGTTGATGAATATCTGAGTTTCTGTATTTTGGCTATTATGCATGGTGCTAATGTAAATACTGTGCATAAATTTTTATAAAGATGTGTGTTTTAATTTCTCAGAATATACTGGGTGGGTCATACAGTTTTTTTCTTTTTCCCTCGAGACAGGGTTTCTCTGTGATTTTGGAGCCTGTCCTGGAACTAGCTCTTGTAGACCAGGCTGGTCTCGAACTCACAGAGATCCACCTGCCTCTGCCTCCCGAGTGCTGGGATTAAAGGCGTGTGCCACCACCGCCCGGCTACAGTATGTTTTAAATGAGAGTGGGCACCATAGATTCATATATCTGAATGTTTGACCCCTAGTTGGTGGCTGTTTGTGAAGGATTAGGAGGTTTGTGATTGTCAGAAGTGTGTCTCTTGGGTTGGTTTTGGGGTTTCAGAAAACCTATGCCATTTCCACTCAGCTCTCTTCTGTCTTGTGTTTGTGAATCAGATACACGCCTGCCTGCTGCCGTGCTGCCATGTTGGCCATGGACTGTAGACTTGGAGCCCCAAATTAAACATTCTTTTATATGTTGCCTTGTCACTACACTAGAAAAGTAACCAGGAGAGAGGTTATAACAGCTGCATTGATATTTTGAAGTAATTGTTGCTTAGTTGTTTTCCAGAGTTGTGGTATCCTTTCACATTCTTACGAAACAGCTCTTGTAGTGAGTGTGACATAGTGTCTCATTGTGGTTTGATTTAATCTCCATAGTAGCTCATGAAATCTTCATATATTTAATTTAAACATGTCTACCTTTGTAAAATATGTATCAATGACATGTATTTCCTATTAATCAGGTAGACTGTTCACATGTCTAGATTTTATCATATAGAAGTTAAATTTTAGGACCTGTTTGGTTTTTGTCAAATGGACATTTTAACTACTATGAGAATTGTGAGATAATAAAGCTCTGAGGCACTATGTAGTTAGTTCAACTTTCTTTTAATGAAGTTTTTGTTAAATATTATGTTTTGTTTTGTTACAGTATTTTACTGGCCTTGAATGTGGACATAAGTTTTGTATGCAGTGCTGGAGTGAATATTTAACTACCAAAATAATGGAGGAAGGCATGGGGCAGGTAATGTGATTTTCACTTGTTTAGGTCGTTGGATAACTATAGCCAGGTTAAAAATCTTGGGATTAAACATTTTTCTAGATTAAAACAGGCTTAAGAAAAAAAAAAGACTTTCCATTTAACAGTCTAATCTAGATAATGTGGTTCCATCATTCATCAGCCCTGATAATCTCTGTCAGGTTCTCCCTGATAGAGAACTTTGTATTTTGCTTGTAACTTTTTTTTTTTTTTTTGGTGAAGAAAAAAAAACAAACAATTGCTTACAAGAATAGTTAACACTCAAAAATGTCTTTCCTGTAATACAAATGGAAAGGATTGAGATCCTACAAACTGAAAAGTATTATCAGAACCTAGCAAACTGCCTGGCGTCCTATAAATATTGTTCAATGAAGAAGTTTAAATTTTGATCTTTTCCAGACTATTTCATGTCCTGCTCATGGTTGTGATATCTTAGTGGATGACAACACAGTTATGTAAGTATTTACTTCAGGGTCTGCATGTTTCGTTTTATTGGTTAAGCCAATTATCTTTAATTGAGTACCTTCAAGAAAGTTATTTAAATTCTGAAGAGGCTTTATGTTCTACACTTATTCCTTTATAATACAAAAAGATACTTGCAATGTGCTTAAGAGTCACTCTTAATGATGAATTTGGAATTATGTGGTTGCTTAATTTAGTTAAATTTTAAAATTATATGATGTGATAATGAATGTGTTAATTGATGTTGTCTGGGAAAGAGGCTAAGACAGAGAATCAGGGAGAGAGCTGAAGGCTGGGAGTGCTGCTCAGTGAGTTGCCCAGCCTATATGAGCTCTGGGCTTTGATTTCCAGTACCTACTAAAAACAAAACAAAAATGGAAAATAATAAAAAGTAATGGAAATATGTGTGTTGATTTAAAAAGGGAGGATCACTAACAGATAAGACTCCTTGCAGGTACATAATGCCAGACAAAGAAAAGAGTTTTCACAAAGAAGAAACTCGGTGTCTAGTCAGCGTTTCTGTGGCTGTGAAGCCACACTGTGACCACAGCAACTCTTATAAAGGAAACATTTAGTTGGGGTGGCTTGCTTTTACAGTTCTGAGGTTTAGTCCATTATCATCATGGTGTGGGACATTGCAGAGTACAGACAGACATGGTGCTGTAGCTAGCTATAACTGAGATTTCTACATCCTGTAGGCAACAGGAAGTCAACTGACAGTCTAACCTAGGGAAGCTTGAGCAAAAGAGACCTCTAAGCCCACCCACACACTGACATACTTCCTCCAGCAAGGCTATCCTTCCCTACTTGAACACACCTCCTAATAGAGCTTATTGGGGGTCAGTTACATTCAAACTGCCACACTCAGCTTATGATGCAGCTGAGTCTGGCAGCCTTTGAGGATCTCCAACACTTAAACCCTACAGAAGACTGCCTTAAAGAAACAGAAGGCTGTGCCAGAACATTCTTTATTAGCCACTCACTGCACTGCCTGGGAATACAGTGGTGTCTGCTAAAATACTGCTTCTAATTTCAAAGGCACTGCAGCTGGAAGCTGTAAACCAATTGTTCTTGTACAGATATTCTGTTTGAATGGAAAACAGAAATTTAGAAAAAGAAGCTAGTGAATTTCTAGAACTAAGCTGCTTAGTTCCTGAGCCACGGTCCTTGTGTCCTCAAGTTATCATTCCAGGGTGCCAAGCAGATGGAGGTCTTAAGTGATCCATAAACAATTTGTATAATTAGTTTTAAGAAATTCCTTATACATAAAATTTATCTGTGGGGGGAGGGGGAAAGGAGTGGGAAATGGGAGGCGGGGAGGAGGCGGAAATTTTTTTCAATAAAAAAATTTATCTGTGATTAAAAAGTAATAAAACGACAGAAGTGTTTTTTTTTTAAACATTTATTTATTTATTTATTTATTTATTTATTTATTTATTTATTTATTTATTATGTATACAATATTCTGTCTGTGTGTATGCCTGCAGGCCAGAAGAGGGCACCAGATCTCATTACAGATGGTTGTGAGCCACCATGTGGTTGCTGGGAATTGAACTCAGGACCTTTGGAAGAGCAGGCAGTGCTCTTAACCGCTGAGTCATTTCTCCAGCCGCACAGCAGTGTGTTTTAATGAGTAATTTTAACTTATTAATGCTAAATTAACCCAACCAGCACAACCTTTTAAGCTCACCTATTCCGTTTAAAGGAAAATTTTTATTTTATGTGTGTGCGTGTAACACGCATCCCAGCATGCTGCTGCTTCCTCCTCCTCTTCCTCCACCACCACCACCATCATCATTATTATTTTTAGAGACTGGGTTTCTCTGTGTAGACCAGGCTGTTCTTGAACTCAGATCCACCCTCCTCTGTCTCATGAGTGCTGGGATTAAAGGTGAGTGCCGCCACCATCACCACCTGCTCCCATTCTGCCTTCTTAAAAACTTCAGTCTATTTTGGTTTATTTAGAACATATTTATTGCTCTTACTAGGTCTGTTTTAATCTTGCTTGTCTTAAGAGCTATTTCCTAATGTTTTCGGCTACCAAAATAAATCAGCTACCACTACTCTTCCACTTGTTTTTATCTTGTACCCTAGTACATCCTTATTCATTGTATTCTTTCTTCAGTGTGTTAGTTTCATCCTGCCATCCAGTGCACTGTATCTTTTCATTCATTCCAGAGATTACTGGACTTCCTTGTTATCACACCTACAGTGCCGTTTCCCCAACGTTCACAATGATAAGTGTCACATACATTGTACATGTATAATAAGTGTCACACAGGTACATGGTAGATGTAAGGCAGTATTAGAAGGAACATTATCCCTTCAGACTAGAAATAAAAGGAGTAAAAATGTGGGTAATATTGATGAAATAATAAATGTCAGGTTTTAAATATTGATGAGCTTTTCTCTTAGGCATTTTACGGTGGCTAGATCAAAGGGGGAGGGTTTAATTAGTGATGTGGATGGAAAGAGTTCAACAGTTTGTCATGGGTTTTTGTCACAGATACTAGTCAAGACTTCAGTAATATGATGTGTGTTTTAGAAATGCAACTTTGATGTAGTGGAGAATGCTTTAGAATGGGGAAATAACGAGTGATGAGATGTTTACCAGATTATTTATATTGTAGGTTAAAGGTTTAGGAGTCAGTAATTCAGTGGGAACAACAGAATTTAGAAACAAAGCAGATTGTGTGACATGAAAATTTGTATGGATTTTCAATTTGATGTATTAGGAACTTTTAAGGTTTGAAATCCATTAAACAGGTAAATAACAGTTAAGGTAACAAGAGAGGAAACCATTGCTTCTGGAGGAAGCGTAGGATGAAAAAAAGAAAAAGACTGAAGTTGTAGAGGCTTAAACTTTTAGTTGAAAGAAGTGTAGTAGTCATGCATGGTACACTCAAGAGGCTGAGGCCAGTTTATGCTACATAATGGAATGCAGTCTTCAGTTTGAAAAGAGAGCGCATAAGTTAGATGTAGTCAGACACTTAGACTTAAATGATGCTTTGAATGAAAAATAGAGAAACCAAAGGAGTAGAGAATGTTATCAAGCGGTCACTGATGATGTTACTTTTCCAGAATTATAAACAAGAATAACAGTGAAAACAGATCATTAGGTTTCCTTACTACAAAACAATTTTACTAGCATGACAGTAGATGTTAGATTGCAGTGAGTTATGAGTAAACGGTGGGGGAATTATGGTAGTTTAGGGAGATGAGCTGTCAGTTTTCGCCCAGTAGATTTCATACTGAACTAGATATTTGATCTCTAGATATTCTAGTCTCCTTATGTATTAGAACATCTTTTTTTTTTTTTTTTTTTTTTGGTTTTTCGAGACAGGGTTTCTCTGCGGTTTTGGAGCCTGTCCTGGAACTAGCTCTTGTAGACCAGGCTGGTCTCGAACTCACAGAGATCCGCCTGCCTCTGCCTCCCGAGTGCTGGGATTAAAGGCATGCGCCACCACCGCCCGGCTCATCTTTTTTTTTTTAAGATTTATTTATTTATTACGTATACAGTATTCTCAGTATTCTGTCTACAGGCCAGAAGAGGGCACCAGATCTCATTACAGATGGTTGTGAGCCACCATGTGGTTGCTGGGAATTGAACTCAGGACCTTTGGAAGAGCAGGCAGTGCTCTTAACCGCTGAGCCATCTCTCCAGCCCCCTAGAACATCTTTTTAATTAAAGAAATCAATTTAAGCCTGTTAATGTCATTGCTAGTTAGACTTAACAAGTTGTTCTTATCACTTAACAAGTTGTAAGCATTATCTTTCAGCATGTACACACTGAAACTAAATGTATTGGAAATTCAGGATCAGAGTTGGGGAACTCCTTCCTCTGAGCTTATTTTCATATCTGTTTTACATAATAGTAATTAAAGTACTATTTGGGCGAGGACTAGATAGAAAATGGGCAAATATCTAAGAAAACCATTGTGCCTTGTTTCCTTGAAATCTTGGGATCGTTAAGCAGATAATATTCCAGTTGTGGGGAGGTAACTGTTGTTATAGTGTCTGCTGTGCAAGCATGAGGACTTGAGTTTGATCTCTATGACCCACATTTGGAAAAAGGGAAAAAGTCAAGCATGGTTACATGTACTTGTAATCAATCCCAATGCACAAGAGGTCGTCTCAAATCCAAAATTAATGCCACCGGAGTAACAACACTTAAGGTTAACCTCTGACCTGCATGTATATAACATATATAATGCATACTCCCAAAAGAGTCAGCAAAAATGATACACCCATGGAATAAGCAAGCAGATTATAATAAAAATAATTTAAATTAATACAAAATTCATGTAAGTGTAAATCAAAATTTGATGCTCCAACTTAAAAGGTTTTTTGGTTGTTGTTTTTTTCCTTTTGTTGTTTTTAGTATTTTAGATTGGGTAAAGATGAAAGAATGTTGATAATATCTGAAGTTACAGGAATATAATACCAGAGGGAGAATAAACAAACTGTTAACAGTTTCTGTGAATTTGTTTGACAGTTTAAAAGTGCCTTTATTCTTTGGTCTTTATTTGCACTTAGATAGGTTATTACACTTTTTGTTGTTTGTTTTTGCCCCCTATTGTTTCTGATTACTTAGGTATTATTATTTTTCCCCCATAATTGGTGCTTTAACAATTTTGTCTTTGACTTAACAGACATTTGACTCCGATTTGTCTAGATTTGGTTCTGTTTTGTGTTTGTTTTGTGTACAGCTCTTTGAACTTTGCATTCAGAGGTTAATGTTTGTCTTAAAATTTGGGGACTTTTTGTTCCTTACTTATTTCATGGGGTGGGGGTGAGGCAGAGTAACACTGTATCCTTTAGCAGGCCTCAAATTCACAGAGATCCATAAGAGGACATTAGTTAGAGTTGCAGGTGGTTGTGAATCAACTACTAATGGATTCTGGGAACATAAGTTGGGTCCTCTGGAAGAGCAGCTGGTGCTCCTAGATGCTGAGTTTCCTCTAGCTTGTTTTGTTTATTAAGAGAAAATCCA